TTTAACCTTGATTTGAGGAAATTAGGAACCCTTGAGCTATGTGCTATGTGAATTTCATGAGTAGCGACGTATATGCGAGGTGACGAGTGTCTATACGCCGTCAATTACTTGTTTCCATGCTTTTCCATATTTCATTAATTGCTTTATTCCATGACTTAACCGCTATATTACTTGTTTTCCCTATCTTCATTGCTTAATATTATGTCTTGTTTCCATGCCTTAATTACTACATGCTTATCTGACTTCCATGTCATAGTTGCTACTTGCCATTTAGCATTTCTTGTATTAAATTTTCCATCCCCTCCCCGGTTCCATGCTTATTTATTACTTGTCTCTATTTGTTTTCCCTCATATATCTAAATTGTCATATGCCTTGTTGCCTTATAGTTTCGTATTAATTGTTGCCTTCATTGAAGTAGTTTCACTTATAGGTATTGTTAAAAATAGATATCGTTGAATTGGTAAAGTTGAGACATCCGGGTAGTCCGGGACTCTTTGATTATCATGTTATTCTTCATTGCTCGTACATTTGTTCTCTTGATGTTCGATTTCTTGTAAATCTTAATTATTGAGTTACTATTGTTAATTTGCATTGTTTTGGGAGCGGGTTGCACGCTGCAACGAATATTGAAAGGAAATAAATTAAAAAGGGGGAACAAGGATGGATTATGATATTGACAGATGATTATATGGAGGAGTCGGGTTGCGCGCCGCAACAGATTTATTTAAAGTTTATATTGTGGGATAGGGTTGCATGCCGCAACATAGATAATAGTAATAATTGATTGTGACTGCTGAATCGGTCTCGATTGTTGAGATGAGTTATATGAATGGTTATCCAGGGTTCTCTGCTAGTTGATTTGAGTTTTATTGATATGAGTTACCTGCTTTACCTCTATTCATGTCTTTCTGTTATTATTATTATTACTACGTACAGGTTAATATGAGTGACCTGCCTTAGCCTCGTCACTACTTCGTCGAGGTTAGGCTCGGCACTTACAGAGTACATGGGGTCGGTTGTACTTATACTACACTCTGCGCTTCTTGTGCAGATACCAGAGTTGATCCTAGCGGCGTACCATAGACTTTCTCGGATTCAGCTACCCAGAAGAGTATATATCAATTTTCAACAAACTGCTGTTTGGATTTGATATTTTTGGTTTTGGAAGAATAAAAAAACGTGTGGGTTCCACCCCTTGCAAACAGTTAACGTCAACATATTTTTTTTTTTTTGGTTTTCCAACTGATGTCTGGTGCCCGCATCGGAACCCGATTAAATCTGGATTCGCGCCGGGAAGTCCCATATTGGGGGGTAAAGCACTCCCTAATAAAAACGACTCCATACCTAGGGCTCGAACCCGAGACTCTGGTTAAGAATGAATGAGTACTTACCACTCCACCACAACTCTTGCCGGTAACGTCTAACATTTCTTTGAATCGAACAATTTGACCAATGTGTTAATATTACATCTGTTTTGTGGTCGTAAGTAGAAAATTTTATTTTAACCAAACCCCGACCCAGCGTCACACATTCTCCAGGTCCGAAGGGAACCAGTGCCCAACTACCGACTCCTAAACTATAGCTATATATATTCGCAAATTTTATCTTTGGTTCATTCCACTCACTTCACTCGATATTTCGTGAGTGTCATGTTCAAGCTCGAATAGAACGATTTAAAGGGGTGGTGCAATCTAGAGAGATGGCCATATCTTTTTGATGAATAATGTGGTATCGAGGTTCGGTAGGACTTATTATTTGATTGGTTTGCATTACAAAAATAATTTGCTTAAAACGTATAATCGAAACAATATTTGATTTGGACGATTAAGCTCAGTCTATAATCGTACTTTTGTATTATTACTATAATCTTCTTTTTTTATGTATAAATTTTGTAACGCAGCCTATATTGATATTAAAGTTTGCATTATTAATAACATTATTTATGCGAAAACAGCTCTATGATTTAACGTGGAACAGAATACGGAAAAATCGAAAAATGTATTTAGTTACATTTTGAATAAGAATATAAAGACAAAATGCACTTCAAATGAAAACATACGTATTTTCATACATTTCGCTACAAAAATAGAAAAGATATCCTTAGACTTGTCGTTCCAAGAAAGTGGAATAACAGATAAAAATGTTACACATAAAATCAGAATCGTATGGTTGAAATAGAAAAAAGATTTATACTTCAGTATAAAATATAAAGAACTTTTACTACTTTTTATTTTTATAGTTGTTATTTTTATTTTATAAATATTAGCTTGAGATAAGTTTAAATGGAGTAATATGGTTAGTGATAATTTATCCCAAACTTATTTAGGATTGAGACGTTGTTGTTGCTTTAGGTACGTTAAACATATAGTAATAACAAGTAACTTTTCATATCAAATCTAATATGGCAATCTAGAAAATAAAATAATAAAATATTTTAACTTGTTTGCATGAACCATAATATTAACTAGTAATTTCTTGTTAATCCGAAAACAAACAAAATCGCAGCTTTTTAACTTGAAATTTGTGGTTCTATACGAAAAATTTGCTTAAACATAGGTTCATTTGGATATAGGTGTGAATATTGTGTTACAACACTAATTTTTGTTTCGTATTTTACAGATTAAGGATGTTAAGATTTGAAGAATGGCCAAAAAGAAAGTTAAAAGAGGAGAATATTATTATCCGTGGGGACATCATATTCATGGTTTTACATCCTTTTTGTGTACTATTAAAATTTTATATCATGCATTTAGTCCGAATGTGTTTGTGACTATCTTTGTGTAGTCAAAATTTTGCAAATCGTAGCAAAAGATGCATATAAGAATTGGAACAAAAGAAAATATTCATATTTTCATGACTTTCACTACAAAAAATAGATTAAAAAAATTATCCTAATTAAAAGTAAACCAAAAAAATAAACACTTTCTTTTGTCAACGCTAGCATTCCAACATTGCTACCTCGCTCAAACTCAACTTCCAGACTTTCACAGGTGACTTGTAGTTTTCCACGGTGCGAGTGGCGTTGTGCCTCATGGTGATTTATTTGAACTTTTCCATTTAAATTTATTGTAAATTTTGTTGAATGACCAGAAGCAAGATTATTCATAATGGTGTCGACAATCCAATGATCATAACTGTTAGGCAAAGCTCCAAAAGCTGCATCGACGAAGTTTTGACCTTTCTCATCTTGATAAAACTTAGGAGCAACATTAGCTTGCCAAAGTGTGGTATCATTATAAGTAACTTTGGCATCAAACTCATCGTAGAAGAAAGTATAATCATCGGTAGGGTTCTTGACTAAGAAAGTGAGCTTCCAACTCTCAGGATTGTCCAAGGATGAAGGTGGCGGGGTGCTTAACATAGAAAAGAGTGAAGGAGAGACATATATAATACGAAACTTAGGGTCTTGGCCTTCTTTAGTAGCCCTAGGGTCTTGAACTTCTTTAGTATCCCTCGGAAAGTATAAATACAAAGCTAGTACAACACCCAATGCTATAACTAGTAGTCCAATCAGTATGCCCAACGCTAAATCGCACCAAGAATTTTCGACCGAATCAACTATTTTAATATTATCGGCAATTTTTTCCATTTCTTAAGAGATCGACAAGAGTATCTTTAAGAAATTAAGGTAGAGTGATATCAGAGAAGAAGTTAGAACTCGAATTGCAGGTAGCAAATTTGTGATGGAAATTTATGTTCGTATAGTCGGTTTTATATAGATGGTACAACAGCCAAATCCGACCTAAAAAAGGATTTACGCTTTTAAATCCAAATTGGAGTTGGAAAAGGAGTAGTAACAACTAATTACAAGTATAAACGTTTTGTGTGTGTTTCTGTAGATTAGGGGGAAAATTGAAAATAATATATAGAGTAATAATAATTACAGGGTTTTCTTTCCATTTTAAACAAAAAAAAAGGAGTTCGTTTTTTAGTTTTTTTCCCGTGACAACTCAATCCTCACTCTCTCTCACGCCTCATTTGTTTGCACTTAATGGAGGTCTGAATCTTGATCGTTCAGATCTCAGACATTAAGTGCGTTTGTTTTCAAAGTCTGGATCTTAATTATTCAGATCTTAATCATTAAGTGTATTTATTTTTTTTACTCACAACCACTTAATTGGTCTGAATAGGTATGTATGATTAAGATCTATAATAGAGACTTCATTTCATTAAGATGCTATCACACATATTCATTAATAACTGCCGCTACTGCCTACCACTATCAACTACCACCATGCCGCCACCACCACCATAGTCAACCACCACCACCACCACCATCACCACCTCCACCACCTCCACCACCACCACGCCACCATCATCGTCAATCATAACCACCACCATTATCGACCATCACCACCCACTATCTCCACCACTCCGACCACCATATATCATTGTCACCCACAAGCAACACTCATCCACCTCAACTACCACAACTGACCACCCCATCACCATAAAAAACCACAATAGGCACTGCCCATTATTATAACCTACCACCACCCACCCACCACCTTTCTCAGTCACAACTACTACCACCACCCGCCATTATTAATTATCACCACCCACCACCACTATCCTCAATCATAATCGCCACCACTACCAATCACTACTAGCATGAACCACCATCATCAACACAAACTACCACCGATCACCGCCTCTAGTCGGCATTCATCCGTTAGCCATCACCACCAACAACTATCATATTTTAAAAAACTATATATTTTATTGATATAGAATATTAGATTAGTTAGTATTTCATTTGAATTTTATGTTTATTAATTTTTAAATAAAGATAAATTTTATACATTCAGATGTTAAAAATCAAACACTCTAAATTATTTCTGTTCTGATCTTAATACACATCTTAATATATTCAGATGTGTATTCAGATCCAGATGTCTTAATCTTAATACACATTTTGATATTCAATGTGCATTCAGATTCGGACGTCTTAATATTTAATAAAAAAAACAAAAAAAAAACAAAAAGAAGATAGGAGGCCTCAGTCTCTCTCTCAGCGGCATCACGTTGGTTCCTTATTTTTATTCTCTCTCTCTACGGTCCACCTATTTCTTTCTCTCTGCTCTAAGTTTTGGGTTTCAGGAAAAAAAAGGTAAGCTCCTTTTTACAGATCCATTTTCGAATCTTCAATTCTTCTTCTTCGTTCAATTTATTAACTGCTTTTCAACGCCTTCGATTTGTTTCCTACTTACATCTGTATCCAGTCGCCTGCTTTCAGTTTACTTGTATGTCCCCTGATTGCTCTGTATCACTGTTGTTATAGAAAGTTGACATTTTATGCTTGTTGTGTTACTGAATAGATGTAATCATGTTTTGTATTGATTAAGTGTGAAGTAATTTTACTATTCATAGGCATATATGTATCAGTCGTGCCATTATAACATTTATCCTAGTTTAAGATTAAGGATTAGTTGATTGATCGATTGCCAGCATATACATTGCTGATTTTATAATTTACTCTGTCCGAAAATGTTTGGCACTTTTTAACTTTCGAGATTCAAACTAATTGATAGTTGACCAGCTTTTTAAATGTCTTTTTGCTCGTTTTGCTATGAGGAGAATTGCGACTTACAGAATTCTTTAACTAGTTTTTGAATATTTGAAATTTAAAAAGGTAAAGTAATCTAATCAGATTTAACTTAGGAAGTAGTCGAATTGACCTACATAAGGTAAAAATTGCTACACAAACTGTGACCACAATTCTTATCCTAGTTTCATACCTAGGTAAGGAAAAATTGCTTAACGAATTGTGACGACAACTCTTATCCTAGTTTCTTATTGAGTATAGTTGATGATTGATTTTGGTGTATTATTGTTCATTTTTCTTTTTGTTTTGTTATTCAGGTTAAGCATGGGCGAGGCACAAAACAATATCGACATGGACGAAGGAACCCTGGAGGTTGGAATGGGTACGTTTATACTATCCTCTTCTTTTTAGCGCCTTCTGTTTGCTGGATTGAAGTCTATTTATGGTTGTCATGATATAGATAAGAGCTAGGTTAAACATGCTGTATGAGCTGAATGCCTCCGGGGTCCTTGCTTTACTGATAAAGTTTTCTCAAGTTGGGAGAGAAGTGCAGTTAAAGCCCCTTCTGATTTTCTTTTGAGTAGTTTGCATGCGGATGAGAGTGGTGTTTCTATTTCCTGATTTTAGCAGACCTCATTTATTAATCAGAGCAATCATTTCATTAGTATTCATTAATTTTTGTAGTTAGCAGGATTTCATTGGTAAATACTAGTATTAAAAAGTAAAAACCATGAATAGAGTGTGATGTACCTTCTGCTCATATGCTGGAAGGAGAATATGTAATTAGATTATCAATAATAATCTTTTTCTGGTTCTCTCTTATTGTGAAACTTTCTGTCTAAACTCAGACATTTGTTAAAAATTTCTATCTAAAACTGATGGTGACTTAAGTCAGCGTTTCATCAAAAAAAAAAAAAAAAGGAATAAAAGAACAAGATATGGAAGGTGACTCCTAATGCTGTGTAAATTGCAGAATATAGAACTGTCTCGGGTGTTGCTGGACCACTTGTTATCCTTGACAAAGTTAAGGTAATCAGTGTGCACTTTGCTTTTGATATATTTTTCTTTTTTTTGGGTTTAATGTAGTTTGCTGTAACTTTTGTGTAAATGCAACTGGAATAATGTGTGCATATGTTTCTCTTGTCAGGGACCCAAGTACCAGGAGATAGTTAATATTCGTTTGGGTGATGGAACAACTCGACGTGGGCAAGTTCTAGAAGTTGACGGGGAAAAAGCAGTTGTTCAGGTTTATTATTCTTTAGCATCACTTATGGCTAGATTTGACTTTAGACAATATTTTATCCACTAATAATTAGAACCTTCCAACAATTCTGTAAAAATTGAATCTGCTAACGCGTGGTCATTTCCTCTTCTATTTTTACCAGGTTTTTGAAGGAACATCTGGAATTGACAACAAATACACGACTGTGCAGTTTACGGGGGAGGTACTTTATAACTCATTTTTTGCTCCTGACATTTGCTCCCAAGAGAGGTCTGGCCCTTCCCCGGGCCCTGCGTGAATGCAGGATGCTTTATGTACCGAGCTGCCCTTTTATTTTTGCTCCTTCAAGTCTAATCAATATAAATCACGAAAAGAAGGTCCTTTGATGAATTTCATTCCGGTCCATTAACATTGGACTGGAATTATATGCAGTCTCCCTTTCTTTAGTCGTTTTGATCTTCTCTCTTGCATTCAAAGCGTTGTATATGGCATGCAAATACTTGTCGAGCACAATAACCTTGACATAGTGTTAACATGCAACTTGTTTTGCATTTGCTCAATAATGGAAAAGAATAAGAATGAGATGGATTAGCAAAGTAGGTACTAATCATATGGCTATTATCGCCGATCAAAAATAAAATCATATGGGCTATTATCAAAAAAAATTAGTAGAGAACATATGCTTCTACTGGTTTAGCATTTCACTTCTTTGTAACAGTGAACATCATGTTTGCAGGTTTTAAAGACACCAGTATCACTCGATATGCTTGGACGCATCTTTAATGGTTCTGGAAAGCCTATTGACAATGGTCCTCCTATTTTACCTGAGGCCTACAGGGATATTTCTGGCAAGTTCTTAGTTCAAGCAAGTCCAGCTTTGGTTCTCATATAAGATTTTTCCTTTAATATTGTGCTACATGTAACTTGTCCATCTTAGGGAGTTCTATCAATCCAAGTGAGAGAACATATCCTGAAGAGATGATACAGACCGGAATTTCAACAATTGACGTCATGAATTCAATTGCTAGGGGGCAGAAAATTCCTCTTTTCTCTGCTGCCGGTCTCCCTCATAATGAAATTGCTGCCCAAATCTGTCGACAGGCTGGTCTAGTGAAGAGGTTGGAGAAGTCTGAAAATCTTCTTGAGGTTAGTAACTTATTTTATTGTACTCCAACCTTCCCAATTCATATGACTATTCAACTAGAAGGCTTCACACCATGCCATTTCTACACAACTTCCACAGATTATCAAACTATAACCATTAGAGTATATTAGAGAACCCCTATTGCTAGATAATCCTACAGTACGGAGTATTAAAATATTATGGATCCAAACAGAGTATTTATGACTTTGAGGATTCATTAAGCCGACCCAACTAGCTTTCTTTGGGTCAAACTACTGTTCAACCTTGTCTTAACATTTTCTTCCATCATCACCAATATAATAAATAAGTCAAACCAAAATATTAAACTCCATACCCAGTCAAATACTGTCTTGTCTTATGAAATGGAACAAGGAGCTATTATATTTCGAACATCCAAATATGCTGATAATAGGAGGTGTGCCGCATTGCTTGAAATGGTCATTGAAACATCAACTGTCTTTCTAAAGCCTAAATGCGATTTTGGTGGATTTCAGAATTATATTGTTATCATTTAACACGATAGCCTTAGGTTACTGCATTGAAGGACCTCGTCACAGCATTACATCCAAGATGATAAAGAACAAAATATATGAGTGCATTTTTTTCTTTCTCTTCTTGTACAGTTAATTAACATATATCTCGAAAAGAGAAAACTGACTTAGTGTTAAACGTTTTCAGAAAGATGTGACAGACTGTTAGTTCTTCTCTTATTCCTTCTCCAATCTATCAGTGAATAGCTGGACTTGCGCATTTCAGTTTCCACATTTTGGTGATTGAGCTGGATTCACATTGATGTAATTCTCATTTTCTTCCTTGATGTCCCAGAAAAGTGAAGATGACAATTTTGCCATAGTCTTTGCTGCTATGGGAGTCAACATGGAAACCGCACAGTTTTTCAAACGAGATTTTGAGGAAAATGGATCCATGGAGAGAGTGACACTTTTCTTAAACCTGGTAATGCTTGGATTTCGACTCTGGCTAACAATTAAATGTTTTGTTCTCCAAGATAATAATACTTTTTAAGGTGAAGCTCATTCTTATCTCCTATGTTTTCTTCTCATAGGCAAATGATCCTACAATAGAACGTATTATTACTCCCAGGATTGCTCTGACAACTGCAGAATATTTAGCATATGAATGCGGGAAGCACGTGCTTGTCATTTTAACTGATATGAGTTCATATGCTGATGCTCTCCGTGAGGTATTGTTTTTCAAGAGTATGTCATAGCCTTTCAGATTTATCTACTCATGATTGTGTTTTGTATGGATCTTTTGTTATAACTTAATATCAGTACAGCTCGGTTATGCAGTTTTATCTAGTATTTTGAAAGCGAAAACCACAAAAAAGGTGAAGAGGTTCATGGGAATTGAAGCAAAATGCAAGAAGTGAAGTGCACGATTTATGGAAATTAAAAAGAACACAAACATTTGTGGATTTAGTGCTTCACTAATCACCTGATTAAAAAAAAATTAGTACTTCACTAATCAAATTGCAATCAAAATAAGTAGCTTCAGCATATTTATATACAACCATACCATTAATCCATCTCATCTAAATTGGGATTTGAAGAATCTGCAGCTTCTCGTTTGGATCACTTTGTGCGTCGTCGCTCGAAGCACACACTTCTCTGAAGCGCATGGCTTCAGTTCTCGTTTTGCATCACTTCGTTGCTTTAAGTGAAAAGTGATGGATTTTAATAACGCTGGTCTTATCAGAAGTTCTGTGTTTTCTTTTTAGACTACTGGGATGATACAATTCTCATCCTCCTGCAGGTATCTGCTGCCCGAGAAGAAGTACCTGGAAGGCGTGGATATCCTGGTTATATGTATACTGATCTGGCAACAATCTATGAACGAGCTGGGCGTATCGAGGGAAGGACGGGCTCCATCACGCAAATTCCTATTCTGACCATGCCAAATGATGGTAACTCACTGTCAAACAATTCTTTTTTGGTTATTGCTTCTGCTTCTGAATTCACAGATATTTATTTACAAATCCCTACTTTCTGTTGTTTTGAACAGATATTACACACCCAACTCCAGATCTTACAGGTTATATCACAGAAGGACAAATATATATAGACCGACAGCTTCATAACCGGCAGGTATTATATAGCTCTCAGGCTGAGTACTCATACATGCTACCAAAGGGGTAAAATTGTTGAATGTTAGAGATCTTACGAGTAAGTGAGCGTTAATCTAGCTAAGTTAGGTTATTGAATGTCTTTACCACTACAGAAGGTTGCCACGTCTGTTACTAGCCATTATTGAATGTCTTTACTCCTTGGATGGCATTTGGGTTTTGAACAGAAATGACTCAAAAGATTGTTTCCCTTTTGAACTGTAACAGATATACCCACCAATTAATGTGCTTCCGTCCTTATCTCGGTTGATGAAGGTGAGTATGTGGACCTCATTTTCTAATCTATCAGACACTTCTAACAATTTTAGAGGACGTCTAACATGTGATTATTCTAATTCAGCCTTAAATTTTTTTGCAGAGTGCCATTGGTGAGGGTATGACCAGGAGGGATCATTCTGATGTATCCAACCAGGTAAGTTCAACTTTTGGTAAAAAAATGTACTACATTGCTCGATTCATCTTCATTCCTTATGCAAAGTTAATCTCTTTTACGTCTGTTAATGTTGCTAATTTTTCCCTTTTGCGTTGATCTTAAAATACTATAGTTGTATGCAAATTATGCCATTGGAAAGGATGTTCAAGCGATGAAAGCTGTGGTAGGAGAAGAAGCACTTTCTTCTGAGGACCTGGTATGTAGCTCGAGAAAAGTTTTTGGTTTAAATAATTAAGCTGTGTTTTGCCTTTGTTATCAATAATTCAATGATGAGATGACTTGAGACTCCTTGTTAAAACAGCTTTACTTAGAGTTCCTTGACAAATTCGAGAGGAAGTTTGTCGCTCAAGGAGCTTATGACACCCGCAATATATTCCAGTCGCTTGATTTAGCTTGGACACTTCTTCGAATCTTCCCTCGTGAGCTTTTGCATCGTATCCCAGCAAAGACATTGGATCAGTATTACAGCCGCGATGCATCTAATTGATGGGAAGGAACTGGCTTTATACTTTAGTCTCTTGTACAATTATCTTGGTGTGAGCTTGACGATACATTGGGTCACGAGCTTTTCCTCTTTGTGCATTTCCTTTCAGCTAAATAATAAAAGCGGCATTTGAAGACAATGATACTACTTTGAGAACCAGTTACATCGTGTAATTTATTATCTATTGTATTAAGAGGACATGCTGCAGTGTATTGGTTTTGTTTAAACTTCAGCAATATTAGGGGCTACTAGGAATTATAAAGCCCTTTTTTGTATGAAGCACAATTTATTGTTATAAGCTGATTCTTTTTGAATAACACAGCCTTGGATCAGACATGCTCTAGATTATGAAGTTACTTTTTCATGACGAATCCTGAAAAGTAAGTTTATCAAGCAAAATATAAGGAATTTTGGAGTTGACAAGGGTAGGGCCTGTTTGGCCACAAGAAATTTCACTTTTTTTTTGAATCAGTGTTTGTCTATGAAAATTTCAAATTTTACTTGAAGTTGAATTTCAGAATTTTTCAGAAATTTGAAAAACTCCAAAAAGCTGTTTATCAAAATTTTCACTTCAAATCACTCACAAAATTTAAAAACAACTTCAAATTGTATTCATATTAAAACATAACTCTGCTTTTCAAATACCATTTTCACTGTAAAAAGATTCCCTTTTTTTCCGAAATTTTACAATTCTTATGTCCAAACGCCCACTATAAAATCACTTCGCATAGTTGGTTTCAAAGATGATTGTCATTCAGTTAATTGCAAGAGTCTTAAAACGTCATTGCAAATCCGTATCGGAGTTATGTAAGGTTCATTAAAAGGAAAAACGCCTCCTGCCTTAATTTTTAACATTCTTAGAGCTCAGGTCTCATACCTCTAATTAAGGGTGAAGGAAACTATCAATCTCACCCCAAACCTTTGGTGGTCGGACCAAATGTTTTATTAGACGAGTCCGCCTGTTGTAACTGTTGCTTTAAAAGCTGCTAATTTCAAAAAAATAATATTTATGCTGCTGTGAACGAGATGAAACATAAAAGATCTGACTTATGAGTAAGTTGTCTAGTCCAGAGACCAAAAGGATCTCGTGCGTGCTACCCTGGTGGGGAAAGGAAGCGCATGCTGCTAGATGTCAATACATTTCTAACTGAAGATGTATCGCCTAAATATACACATAAAAAGACAATTCAGTGCACAAAATATTCCATGTTCACGTAGGATCCGGGAAAAAAGCCGCATCCTAATGGGTGTGACAACCTACTCTAATGCATCATTAGTGGCTTCCACGGCTTGAAACCGTGATCATACGGAAATAATTTTACCGTTGCTCCAAATCTCCCATTTATTGCCTAAATATGCACATGCCCCTCTAAAAGTTTTCTCTCTAAAAAATATTCATCATTAGCAGTAATGATGTAATGATGCTGGAGTAACTGATTTACTTGATTTATTAAATGCACGCATAACCTAACTACGTATATTTCCAATAAACAAAGTACATTCAGATCTGCAAAGGCCAAGTTATGCCACAAATCCAGAAGCATAGGCACATGCCATGCCACTATTGTTTCAGTATATAATTAAATTACTCGTTCAAACTGCATTTAGCAGCATTTTGCCACAGAAAAAATATTTGTTAAACCTAAAATTACGATGCCACTTTGATAACAAATATTCTTAATTCTTTAGTGCTTAACCATACAAATATAATAAACTTAAAACCGCGAGACATGCCTCTGCAAAACAGATTAAAGAAGACCCCTCACCAACCTAATCAAGACTAATACACATTGTACAATTTTTGCTGTCAACAAAGATTATTTAACCAACCAAGGTCTCTTCAGGATCCTAAATTTTTACTATTTCAGAGGCAAGATAATACTGTAAAAAAAACATATTCTCCCTATTAACGTTAAAAAAAAAAAAAATAACAAACCCAGTATAATCCCACAAGTGGGTCTGAGAAGGATAGTGTATACGCAGACCTTACCCCTACCTTGAAGGTAGAGAGTCTTTTTTCAATAGACCCCGACTCAAAATTTCAAGTAAGTATTGCCGACTTATTTCATAGCCTTTTCAACATAAAGGAAACTATTGTTCACAGATTTATTAGACTAAAAGCTACTCCCTCCGTTTCAATTTATATGAGGTAGTTTGACTCGATACGGAGTTTAAAAAGGAAAAAAAAACTTTTGGAACTTGTGGTAAAAGCTTGAAGGGTAAAAGTTTTACGGGGCCATAAATTTGTGTGGTTATAAAAGTTTCTCATTAACGATAAAATGAGTAAAATGAAGAGTTTAAAATTAAATTATTTCCAATTGTAGAAATGTGTCATTCTTTTTGGAACATAATAAAAAAAAAAAATGTGTCGTCTAAATTGAAAACACTGGAGTAACTTTTATTTGGGGCATCAAAACTGTACAGGCGGACCAGAGGAACTCTCATGAGAAAGCAAATCACTCGGCTAAACAAAATCACGTGCAAATGCAATATAATAATGCAGGCATAAGACATGCAGCAGCTGTACAACAGCATAGAAAGAGCCAAAACCAGCAAACTATTTAAATCTCAACCTCAAAACTGATCCGCCAACTTAGCTGGCCAACACAAGCCCCAAAATTTGCTAGCAATACTAATCAAACAAGAGATCTATAGCACTCAAAAATATCTAAATATACCCACCAAGTAGTTGTAAAACATAGCTGGAAACAGATTACCCCTTCCACTTGACACCTAATGGCTGCATTGTCATCAAAATTTCAATTTTTTCCTAGAATTGTATCACAGTTTCAAGACTCTTTTGTTTCTTCCCAGAAACGTCTAATTTTTTTTTGGATAAGCGTGATGTCCGTGCCAGCCTGCGCACCTGCTACCTCCCAGGCGCAACAGGTATCATGTAACTATATCTACCAAGGCTTGAGCAGTTGGGAAGAAATTACCTTTGTCGTCGTTAGAATTTGAGCTTGAAACCTATAGTTCTCAACCCACTTCATCCTTTCGCCCCCTCATCCCATCCCCCCCCCCCCCACCCCACAACAATTCGATAGCAAAATTGAGTATCATCACCGAAAACTTGCGATTACAGAGAGAAGGGTACACAGAATCAACAGCATTTCCACTACAAATTTCAATGTAATTTAACTAAAGATGGATTCTTTACTAGTTTAGGCCTTGAACAAATAACCAAAGTTATCTTCTAGTACAACAGAAGCAAGATATCAAGCTAGAAATTATTATACAAAGAAACGGAAAGGTCAAAAATGCCATTAAATTAAATCCAATAAACCCCAAAAAAAAAATAACATATATCACCAAATAAAACAACAGTACTCTGAAAATAACCTTCATAGTCAATCTCCTAATCTGAAGATAGCTAGTGTTCTTCAGGTTTTCTGCAGAGAATCATATGCATAGGACTAAAAATCCCTTTATCACCACCTTTAGCCAAATAATCAGCAGTCACAAACAGCATTTTGTGCACATCAACTGTACCTTTAGGTGCAATACCAAGCCAAGAAAGTACAATAACCACAATATGATTTCTCCAGTAAGCAATTCTCCCCATTTTCAGCCTCGTCCACCACGGGTTCGCTGGCGGTTTAGCTAAATCTCTCTCTTTTACTACTTCAAACCCTACGTTCTTAGCCACTTCAGCAATGTCACTGTAACTTCTTAAACCAGGTAATGCATCACCCCTTTCAATACCATGGATTATCTCTACGTGTTCCGGGTCATCCGAATTGTATAATTCGGTTGTGACCCATTCGTAGGATACGTACATGGATCCGGGTTTCAAGACCCGGTAAATTTCGCTGTATACTTCTTCCAGCTTTGGTGCATGGCATGTTGCTTCAATGGAATAAGCTCCATCGAAACTGTTGTCAGCAAATGGCATTTGTAGGAAATTACCACACACAACTTCACACTGTGAGTCCAGGCCCGCTTTCTTGTTGTGGGCCCGGGCCCGGTTTACTTGGTACTCATTAATGGTGATGCCAACAACGTTGGCGCCCGAATGAGCGGCGATGGCTCGCATCGGTCCGCCAACCCCACAGCCAGCGTCCAAAACACGGGCTCCAGGCTTGACGCCCAAAAGATCCACGGCCATCTCCTCGTGAATGCGCGTGGCTTCACGATGAGATTTGCCGGGAATAGCAGGGGAAAAGTGAAAAGATTGACCCCAACCCCATTCATAAATATCAGTAACGAGGTTATAGAAAGTGTCAACAAAAGCAGGGACATTTTCGGTAGTTTCGATTTCTTTAGGACGGCGAAAGAAAGACCAGTACTGTTTGTACTTGTCTTGAACTTTTTCTTTGGCTATTGAGCCGCCGGAAAGGTTGACGGCGCGTTTACCTTTTATCTCGGCGGAGCCAAGGATGCAAACGAACCAGTAAAGGCCGCCAGCGAGAAGGGAAGCGGTGGCAAAAAGAGTGAGAGAATCCATGGGGGAGAAAGGGAAAAAGAGAAGAGGAAAGTGAGAAGAAAGACAAGTGTTAGAAAAGAGTGCGCCTTTTTATTATTCAAAGGGTTGAGTGCTTTGTTTGAATTGTGTTTGATATTGGCACGATGTGGTTAATGACAGTCACGTAACGACGCGACTACATCACGTATGAGGTGTCATAGGTACAGGTGGACACAAGAGTTTATATAAGTAAGGGTTTGTAGGTTGCTTTTTCCTTAATCAAATGTCTCGAATTTGAGTTATGAGTTAGAATTTTTTTTTTTTGATAGGGAGAGCTTTTTTCTGAATGGAGTAGGATGTAGCGAGAGTCCAAATATAATTGGTATAAAAATATTTGAGTTTGAGCTAAAAGTTGAAAAAATCTTAAAAAGTTAAAATCGTAAAGAGTGATTCGAACTAACGTCATGAATTTCACAAGAAAAAAGATATTAGAATATTTATGAGAAAAAATTAATAACAACATCCTCCGTATTTTATGTTGAGGTGTTTAACTAAACAAAAATTAAGAATATAAGACTTTTGACATATAAGTTAAATTACAATATCAAATACCAATAATTAAATTTATAGTGGTCAGAGGCGGAGCAAGGATTTGAAGTTTATGGGTTCGAAGATTCTAATCCTTTTAAGTTACTGAGTTCTAAATAAATAAATTGTACATATTCAATAAATTTTTAAAGATAAATATAGGATTTGAATCAAAACTACTGAGTTTGGCCGAATCCGTAGAGAACATGCTGGCTCCGCCCCTGATAGTGGTAGAGTTTCATGTATACATTTTCTCTCTAGTAGTAAAAGAATGGACTTTCTATCTAAACTATAAATCTATGTTTTATAGTTTTACATCTTGCAAGCTGAAAACCATTTAG